GAGCATGGTGCCGAGTGGCAGAGGTTGAGGGACGAGTGTGGCCTGAGGGACATGATTCTAGACAAGACGGATCTGATGGAGGGCATGAAGTGAACACCGCCTCTGGAGAAATAGAGTGAACTACTTGCTGCTGGGAACGAGCGGCGCTATTACCGTGTCTGCTGCCCTCGGTGAGTCATGATCCATCTGTCACCACCTGACTTGGACTTGCGATACGCTGCTCGTCAAGGTTTTCTTTTATGGAAGTGTTGTACTTCATCTTTTCCACCGAATGTTTCATTGGCATTCACATGACTTCGTACGAGACGACTGCAAGGTCTAAATAAGCAGGTTCCTTCCTCCGTTCTCGCCCATACATTTTCGAAGGAAACTTGCAGCGATATCTCGACTAGCTATCTATTGAGGCGCAGCGCTTCAGGCGGAGCGGAACCTGGGAGAGAATCCTAACCAGTACCCAACCCACTGAGCCGACCAGATGAATAAGACGGGGTCCTGTCTAGTACAGTCTCTTGGGCGGGCTCATGCTGGCCTTGATGGTCAAGCTGCCGACGTTCTGCCACCCCTTCTTCAACAAGCTGACGAGGTAGTTGATGGCCAACATGATGTTGCTGATCAGCTCGTCCTCGGTCATGCCGACGTTGCCGACGGCGACACCCATGCACAGCACCTTCTTGAGCTGGAACTTGATGGTCGACTTGACCTCGACGATCTTGGCCGAGAGGTCCTCGTTGTGCGAGATGGGCGTGGGGAACTTGCCGGCCTTGGAGAGACCGGGGCCCAGGAGACGGGGGATCTGCTTGATCAGCGAGTCCGAGGCCAGGAAGGCGTCGTATTTGCGCGCCAGCTTCTTGATCAGCTTCTTGTTCTTGTTCAGCTTCTTCAGGTCGTCCGACGACATGGCGTCGACGCCCAGGTGCTTCGCTCGGTCAATGTCGTGTTGGTCACCAAGGACACTGTACATTCGTCTCTTGTCAGTCTCATCTTCGCAGTAATTTCACATACAACCAGTGTCGAATATCTCATTTTTCTGTCTTCTCCCCCCGGGGACGTGTCTCGCACATACCAGATTGTCATGTTCGGTCGGGGGACGGTGGGCAACTTGATGGTTCCCGAGAAACGCTTGTCACGCTGGGGATCATAGTTCTTGAGGCCGATCTGGAGTTCGACCGTTTCTAGAAAGTTTCGCTTCTTCTCGTTGAGAGAGTAGTCGAGAAGTTGTTGGACGTTCACGCGCACTCCGGCTGTAGAGAGGCAAGAAAAACTGCCGTCAGCGAAATTATGTCCAATCCAGGTTGCTTGGTGCGCTATTGCGCCGCAGGGATTGCAGGGACGTGCACGGATGAAGGATTGGATATGAAACTTACCGACTGTAATTTTCGACATGATGAAGACAGTCTTCCAGAAGAATTTTGTAGATTCTTATGGTGAGGCACTGCGCAAGAAACGGGTTGAGGAATGAAAAGACCAAGAAGTCGGCGAGTTGCGAGCGTCGAGGATAGAAAATCGATTGTGAGCAATGCCAAGACTTCGCAAGCTTAACCCTTATCGGGACCTGTGTGTTAGTTATCCTCTGACGCTACTGTCTGCTGATTGGCTGTGGGGTTACGAGCCTCGCTCGAGCCTTCAGTGGCTTCTATACGCCTCATTGATTTCAAAGACCAAGTGTATTACGATCTTGCTATATTCGTCGTGCCGGCTGGTACTTGTAACTCCCAGATTTTCTGGACTCTAGGATAAATACCGGGCTATGTCACCATACCTCGTCCTCGCAAGAGTAGTCATACAATCTCGTCTCAGTGAGTCATTACGGCGTCAGCTAATACACAGGGGACTCCCTAGCCGGGACAAACCCTTTGTTATTGTACACAGATCGAGAGATCCTCCTCCTGCATTACAAGATTTTCGACACCTTCTCTCGGCTTGGCCTTATGGCTTCCTTTTCTGTCCACACTCTACCCCGTCCCGCTCAGGACCATGCCACCTTTCTTGAGTATTCGTCCCGTCTCAAGGTCCTGAGGTTGAGAAGCCTGAAGGAAGACGCGAAGAGTTTCATATCCAGTTACGAGAGCGAGGCCAGCCAGCCAGAGGAATTCTGGTTGAATAGACTGAGGGACGACCAGGTAACCCACCTTATCCTGCTTCGCCATGATGCACAGGCTCAGAAATCGACCCTACTGGAGCATCAATGGGTTGGATTTGTGGTCATCGTCGCGCCAAGTCCCGAGGCATTGGATGATGCTGGTCGACCATCTTTCGCCGAGTGGTATATGGCGGCACTCTATGTCGAGCCTGAGGTGCGTGGGCAAGGGTTAGGGAAGCGCCTTGTTCAGGCGACCATCGATCATGCTAGGGAAAACTCATCGAGGGAATATGGCGAGTCACCATGCTGCATCACGAGTGTAGTACATGGCAATGACAATGCTCTGAATCTCTACCAAAAACTCGGCTTTCGGATCATCGAGCCAAAACAGGAGGTGGAAAAGGAAGGCAGGAAGTATCTTACAACGACACTGAGGATGGAGGTGTGCAACTAAAAAGAGAGAGGTGCAGTTATGGTTTCTGATCGCAAGATATGTCGAGCCAGATCAGTTTGTTACTCACGTGCTGTGTGGTACAGTATGGTGTGATGGTAAATCGAAGCCCGTTTCCTGTTAGCAGCGGGCAGGACGGCGACGTCTGTCACCGATCAAAATTGGAATTATGCCTCCGGAGAAAATTGTTTTTCTTGTAGCCTCATAAGAGTCAGCCTTGCTTACACGTTATAGAGAGTCTCATAGTCCAAATATAATTTCTTGTCAAGAGATCCGATCTGTGCAGCCTCGATTCTGCAGCCTGCGCTGTGGCTGGCTCCGGGAGATTTTGTCTGCAGGAGGGCTTGGCAATCATCGGCTGCGAGTCCAACTTCGCCAGCCCAACTATCCACCCGGCGTCCTGAGAACTTGTCCACTTTCAGACTTACTTCCCCCATTGTCCATCTTTAATCCTGACAATCACGTCCACCTAGCATCTTGACACTCTTTTGCCTGTCTCTACGCCAGGAATAGAGTCCCTTAGCCTTTTCGGTAAGCCAAAGAATTCCAGCTGCCTGCCGCAAAAATCCAACGTGCCAGGTCCTCGAGGACAAAGTGGCCACACATCTGTCTCTGGGTCGCGCGACGTTTACAGGGCGGTCCTCTGGTTTCATTTATATTGCAGGAGACCTAGAACCTACTGGCTTCATTCTATACTTCTTTATATCACATTATTTCGCATCGACCTGCGCGTCTCCAGACTGTCCCTAGCTGACCCTATTTACCAGACCGCCTTACCCACAATCTCCCTTGCCACGACCTCCCTCAGCTGAACCGCAGACATGGGTCTCGCCTTCTCAAAACTGTTTGACCGACTATGGGGAAAGAAAGAGATGAGAATTTTGATGGTTGGTCTCGACGCTGCTGGAAAGACTACCATCCTGTACAAGCTCAAGCTTGGTGAAATTGTGTATGTGATATCAGCTGCTGCCTTGCGTACCCCATGCAAGCCCCTAGAAATCCACACTAACATCGTGTAGCACCACGATTCCCACCATCGGTACGATGAGAAACCATGATCGCCCTGAATAACCCTAGATCTAACCTGCGCTCCCAGGATTCAACGTCGAAACCGTCGAATACAAGAACATCCAATTCACAGTGTGGGATGTTGGTGGGCAAGATAAGATTCGGCCTTTGTGGAGGCATTACTTCCAGAACACTCAGGGCATCATCTTCGTGGTCGACTCCAACGATCGGGATCGTATCGTCGAAGCACGTGAGGAACTCCAACGCATGCTCAATGAGGACGAGCTGCGTGATGCCCTCCTCTTGGTCTTCGCCAACAAACAGGATCTGCCTGTGAGTGCCAGATCCATGAATTTTCTTGTTGCTCGCTCTGACGCACCCCTAGAACGCAATGAACGCTGCCGAAATCACCGATAAGCTTGGTCTGCACAGTCTTCGACAACGCGCATGGGTAAGGAGAAACCGAGTTATTTCAGTGTGCCAGTGGCTAAAGCGTGATACAGTATATCCAATCCACCTGCGCTACCTCTGGTGATGGTCTCTATGAAGGTCTCGAGTGGTTGAGCAACTCGCTCCGTAAGGCCGGTCACTCCTGAACAATTCCCTCTCGGACAAGTGCGTTTCCTGGTCTCAACAATCGACCAGTCTTCTCGAACGCGAAAATTGCTACCACACAATTTACCCTTCAGATGGTCTTTTGCAAGATCTGCAGTCATTCATAGTGCCCTCCACAATTCAAGATTCCGGTGACTGCAGCCAGCTTGTCATGGTGATAGGACGTACAAGGTGAAAGTGAAGGCTTTCCATCAACCCCGCATATTCATGATCTGCTTGTTTCTGGTCTGTCACGATCTTCATATGGTTCCGGGGGAGTTGAGTCTCATAGGTAGTTGCGAGTTATTTTTTGTGCGACTTGCTGGCATACCTTGGCTTCGGGCGGCAGGATCCGGTACCTGTAACTTGAACTCTGCAGAAAAACGAAGGCAAGGTTGTAAGCAATGAATAGATTTGGTTTTGAGAAAAAGCCCTGAAGGGTGGAATAATTGTGTTGCCTGGAACTGAAGACGTAGTTATGTTTGTGCTGATATGCCGTGCAATGTGGAGCAACGCCATCAGGACGCCGAAGATTGCGCTCACAGGCGTTACGTTAAATCGACTCCGCCGCGTTCGTATGACGAGTTGCCAGTTGCCAATCACCCACGCCTGCAAATGTTCCATCACAACAACCAGGCAGAGAGCCATTATTGATATATGTGTATTCACAACGGCGTGACCTGACTCTAGTCTCGACGTTTTCCCTTGTCACCAATACACCACTCGAGCGTTTTGGACGACACACGAGCCTCGCTATCCTCCGCCTTTCGCTACCCAACCTCCTCTCCTGGACGAACTACAATATCGCGTTTCGAGAAGGAGTGACGAGAAGGATAGAATAACAGCGTTCAAGGGAGTGGCAGCAAGATGCCTGCCCCTCCTCCTCCTCCGCCGCCGCCGCCGCCACCACCTCCTCCTCCTCCGGGAATGGGAGGACCTCCACCTCCACCGCCTCTGCCCGGAGGCTCGCTGCCATCAGCGCCCCCTAAGTCAGCTGCGAAAGGGCGGGTATGTCATTCGAGCTCTCATATCTTTGGTTTCGATGGGAGGAATTGGGCTAGGCCTAGAGGGTGCAAAAAATATCCCATACAGTTGCTGACTCGCTGTGCAGGACGCATTATTATCAGACATCACCAAAGGGACGAGGTTGAAGAAGGCTGTCACGAATGACCGTTCAGCGCCTCTGGTAGGCAAGCCTTCTGGAGGCGGAGGAGGGCCTATAGCAGGAGCACCGCCGGTCCCTGGAGGAATAAAGGCACCCAGTGGTCTCGCCCCCCCAGTTCCAAGTGGTGGGAATCGAGCCCGGAGTCATAGTGATGCAGGCAACGACTCCAGCATCGATGGGCCACCACAGTTAGCAGGACTATTCGCTGCAGGAATGCCCAAATTGAGGAAGACACGAGGAGGAATTGATACCGGAGCAGGTCTGGACGGTGCTCACTCAGATTCGGAAACATCTACACCAGCTGCTCCCCGACCACCTCTAGCAGCAGCACCGCGTCCGCCGTCAATGCCTGCTCCTCCTGTCCCGGGTTTCAGACCTCCTCTACCGCAGTCAACGGACTCAGCACCGGCAATTCCAAGTCCATTGGCACATCTCAAAAAGCCACCTCCAAAACCACTATCCAAGCCTTCGTCTGTGGCCAATCTGGTGGCCGGAAAGCCACCTCCTCCTCCGCCATCATCGCGAAAAGTCAGCACCGCTGCTCCCCCTCCCGCTCCTCCTCCACCTCCACCACCTTCATCCTCGGGTTTCGTCCCTCTTGCACCACCTCCTCCGCCGCCTTCGATAAGCCCTGCTCCTCCAGCGCCGCCACCGCCGCCACCAGTAGCAAGCCCTGCTCCTGCAGCACCACCCCCTCCGCCACCACCACCACCGCCAGCGGTCAGCTCAGCTCCTCCCGCTCCTCCTCCTCCTCCTCCGCCATTCTCAAGCTCAGCACCTTCATTAGCACCTCCACCGCCTCCCCTACCACCTTCTACTTCTCCGGGACCACCATCTAGGTCAACACCGCCTCCACCGCCAGGCCCACCTCCACCACCAAGTCTGCCACCAGCGACAAATGGCGCAGGTTCGTCTCTGGCGCAAAGGGCAGCTGTAGCAGCATTTGGAAGACAATCATCTCACTCAATTCCGGAGGCCCCGCCCTCGCCCTCGTCGCCTGTTTCACCGCCTGCTTCTCGACGAGTTTCACAAATGCCATCTCGATCTACACTAGACGCAAGCTCGTACACTCTGACCAATGGGAGTTTATTTGGTGTATCAAGCGGATCGAGTCAGATTAGAGTTGAGGATAACCGGTGGAGGTTTCAGGATGAAAGCCAATTACCTCCGCCGCGCCCATTTACAGGCGTGCCGAAGAGATATCGTGCCGGGAGGGGGAGTAGTGTCCCGCTCGATCTTGCGAGTTTAGAATGATGTTGTCGGTCTGCAAAGCGAAACCTGGACTTCTTGAGGAGAGGATAGCTGGGGCATTAATCTCCTCGTGCACTATCAATGCTCTGATGTCTCGCACAAAGCGACCAGCATCCACCCCAGGAGCTGGCAAGATACGAATGAGTCATCCAATACTCGGATTTCCGTTCCTGTCACCACTGACTGCGGTAAACCCCTATCCAGCAGCTGAAGCACGAGTGGGTTAGTGGAAATGATATCCGGACGTCATTATACGGAAGGGCTCTGAACGACAGCAGGGTACAAGGTTCTCTTGAGTACGAAAGGGTGAGAACTGGGAATATGCCAGTTGAGAAATCGAAGACACCCGAGAACTGGTGAAATGGGAACATGATCTAGGGCCAGCAAGCGTCAGTCTACAGAAAAAATTCCAAGTAAAGAGCGTCAAGGCGTCGTCCTCGGCTTCAAAACGGAGATTGCAATCATCAAAAGCGTCAATCGGAATGATTAAAGTGTGGATGAAGTTGCTATTCAGACAATCTCATGCTGTGCTCTCTATATCGGTTGGCAGTCTGTTCTGATCCATCCAATGCCCTGACCTGATTCTACCGCGCCCCGGATTACACATTTGGCAAATTGAAAACCTCGTCACTTCCCTCTCTCTTCTCATTCAGCGTGTGTTTCTCCCTAAAAATTCACTTTTCAGAGGAATTTTTTTCAATCCCCTTCCCCAAACTGTCCATAAATATCTGCCTCACTCCCTTCTTTTTCCCAGTTTCCCTTTTCCCTTCCATAACATCACCTTGTCCGTCCGGCTCGACGATCTCCTGTTCCCTCTTCCTATTCAATCACAATCAATACACTACGTGGTATGTCTACTGTCCCCAGTCCTCCCTGGGCCACCTCGGGAGCAGGCGATGTCAACTAACAGGTATATACAGTCGATCTCACCTCGAACATCCCTTTCTCAAGAACATCCCTGTCCTCAAGCGCCTTCGATAAGAAAGCCTTTTGCTACCCTGAAGATGCCGATCAAATGGGATGCTGATGCTGATGCCCGGGTGAGTACATATCGCCCCCCTCCAAGTTTGGGCTGGAGCTTCAACGCTCGGCAAACACCAATTGCTGAATACCCCTTCCGCTCAACACTCTTTGAGCTCTATTTGGTGAAAAAAAGAACCATAACTGGAAACCCACATGACTGATTTGAATATCTCTCTCCTAGCTCTTTGCTGCGGTACTCGCCACATCGGAGATCAAAATTGACCACTCAGCAGTTGCACTGCGGATGGGGAATGGTAAGTCTCCATATGGCCGTTCCAAGCTTCATAGTCCATTTCAGCCTCGTCAAAAATGAATATGAGGCCGGGCACTAACCATGTCCACAATTACAGAATGTACCGCCAAAGCCGTCACACATCGCATCGCCAACATCAAAAACAAAGCGAAATTGCTCGAGGCTGATGGAACTGCAGCGGCCACTACTGCAGCAGCAGCTGCTCCGGCTCCAGCTACGGGACGACGCAAACGCGCGCCAAATGCCAAGGCGAAATCAGAGGAGCAAGTCCACGACTCGGAGGACGGAGACAAACCAGCGGTGAAGAAGAGAAGGACTGCAAAGAGTGCAAAGGCTGCAGCTGGTGCCGCGGGTACGAAGAAAAAAACCCAGCAACCAGTCGCCGCGCCCGTCAAGAAGGAGGCGGAAGTTTCTACCAGCGACGACGACACTACTGCAAAGGAAGAAGACTCTGCTTGAACTTCGCGCCTCGTCCTCGCCCTGGCTGGGCCTCTTTCTCATGTCCTCACGCCCCAGTCAACATGTTGGCACGTCACATACATTACGGACGTGTCGTTCGTCCGACCAGAATCGCCTCTCGAAAACAAAAGATACGAATGAGCTCGAGTGAGTTAATGGAAACACCCAAAAAAAAAGAACATAGGAAGAGATAATCAACACACCGGGACCATCAAGGTCAAGAGCCGGGTCCGACAAGATCTGGCCGGGAGACACCGGTCTGTGACAAGAATGTGCTTGGAAATTCCGGGCTGACAGTAAAGGTTGGGATCTTGGGGGAGTTTTGACCAGAGTCACCCACCATCCCTCACTCGCTTGCTGGACCTAGGGTCGGGATCAACACTGTGTGTAGCTGGTACTCATATCAACTTCTCAGGATACGGGCGATATGGAAGTCTGTGCTAAGAGCATGAGAAAAGAAAGAGATCGTCGGCGTTCTCGGCTGACTGAGTTGAATAGCACAGAAAAGGTCAGATCAGGCCAGATCGAACCAGATCAGACCAGATCAGACCAAATAAAGAGCTAGAGCTCGAGCCTGAATTGAGGAAAGAGATTCAAACCAAACCATACCAAAAACGAACAGACAGGGACGTACACAAGCACAAGCACAAGAAAAAAGATCTAGTGAGTCGAGTCGAGTCGAGTCTTCCCCAGTTTCCTGTTTTCTATTCCCACTTTCTTGCCGTCGTTGTCTTCTCGTCTTCTATTATGCGTACGTAGTAGGTTGGAACATATCATTGATGGATGGTCGGTCAAATCTCAATCTCAACCTCAATCTCACCCTCCAGGTGGTAGGAACGGTAACAAAACCGCCAACCCAGGAAGGCAGGTAAGCTATCTAGCTGGCCGAAAATCTCGCTTGAGCCGGGTGTAGCAGTGTAGCAGTATGGCAGGAGTATTGCAACAGTGAAAGACGGCCCTCCGAATATACGAACGAAAAGTCGTGATTTGCATGCCCGTGCCACTCCAAAGAGAGTAGAAGAGAGTGACACTGTTCAACTGCACCTCCACTAAGCATACTCGACAAGGTACATACATACAGACATACATACATACACACACGTATATATAGTGGTCCACGAGCCATTTCCTCCACCCAATCGATCCATGTAATTTCATAGTGTCAAAGATGCATTTCCAACCAGCCCAGCAGCCAAATACCCTAGACCATTGGGGATCAAAAAAGCGCTCAAGCTCTCATAACATGAAGACTTCTCCGTCCTCAACGGCTTCGCTGTGTTCTTCGCCAGCAAGAGCCTCGGTTTCCTCCGTCGACAGTTTCAAAGGTTGAGGAATGTAAAACTTTCCCTGGGGGTTGTCGAACTCGTGTTGACCGAAGATGCCCAGCCAGAAACGTTCCATGTAGTGACCTTCCTCAGGATTAACGTGCGCCAGGGTGTGAAAGTAGCTGTATGCTCGCTCGTAGACCGCTCTGGGATGTCGCTGAATAGTCTGTCTGGTCACTGCGAATAAAGCACCCTGCGTCCATCTGATCTCGGATGGCGGCGCAACCCATTTGGGATCCTCGTTATCTGTGGTACCGTTGAGTATGTAGTTCCAAAACTGCTCCGGCGAGTATGGGCTCCGTCGAAGTCCCTTGCCGCGTCTCTTGATCCAGTCAGGTAGGTATTTGACACCGTCCCAGTCGCCGAAGGAGTGTATTTTGCCCAATGGTAACACGCCATCTCGAGGATAGTTCTGAATGTAAAGGCTATTGCCGAGGAGGTCGGGTAATTCTGTCAAGCGTTGGGCCATCCGAACAATCTCGTCCAAGGAGAGGGCTGTGTGTGCCGGTGTACCATCATTCGTGTCGTGGATATTGCCTTGGAGAAACAGTGTCACATCGGCAAGGTCGTCGTAGTTGTGAACGATGTGGTGGAGATAGGTATGCGATTCTCGACCCCAATTGGGCAGAATCTCAACCGCTCGGAATATTGACAGATCAGGTGGAAGTTTACCCTTACTGTAGACGGTTGCGAGGCTAGCATAGGTCGACAGCCACGTCAAGCACTCGTTGTAGTTGGCTATCACAAGGTCTAGCGGGCGGGGATCTGGGGTTGGGGGCAAAGAAGGAGAAGAGGCAATAGATTGAGAGGGCGTGAGCTCGGGCGTGAGCATTGTCGGCAAAGATGAGGCCATCGACGGTTTGGGGGGAACGAACACGAGCGAAGAAGAGAGAAACTTGTCGAGGAGGTCTTCTTTGGAATAGGGCACTTTGGGTATATAACCCGTACACAAGGCAAACACGGCCGCCCGGTAAACAGCCTGCGACTGAGATGAGCAACGAATATTATTCGAACAGAGAGGGATAGAGTGAGAAATAACGTAAAAGTGTGTGGCGCAGAGCAAGAGGCGACGTCTTCAAACCTGATGGTGTAAGTCCAGGGTACCTGGAAGGGATGCTCACAACTATACCAAAAATACGTGCGAGGTACCTCGAGTGAGCATCTGGGAAACATGAAAATGACGTAGGCACACAGGCCTCTGGAAGACAGGAAGGTGCAATCCAGGGCTGTTAGCAATATCAACCCCTCCTATGGCCAAAGGACTTGACAGTCCCGATGAATGCCACATGCCCACCCTGCATCCAAGCTGATGTTCTGGGGTTGACAAGACCGTCGAGTTAGCCATTTCCCCGCTGTCACTAACGAGAAGATAGGCTGATATTCCGAGGAACTTATCGCTTATGCCTCCAGTTCTCGCGTGGCGCCCATCAGACGGTCAGCCACCGGGGCATACCATCATCCACAAGGCATTGAGATACTCTGATCCTAACAGACCCACCGTGATATCTAATCATAGAGCCTCTCGCAACGATCAAAGGCTATTATCACTTGGCCAAAATGGACGATATGGACGGAGATTTGGCATGATCAACCATCCATGAACAGGACATTTCCGAAGCTGAAGTTTGTTACAGACGGCGTGACTGTCGGGACAGCGCCGCAGACAGGGTCTTGGGCGCGCAACAAGAAGAAGGCGCCATAATACTAACCCAGTACGTCGATCAGGCAGCAGAAACGAAGGAAGTGGTTCTCGCGCAGTGGCATGTGGAGTGGGAGCAGTCTGAATTGGGATCTTGGGCGCCTGACGAGGGTGATACAGCATGTTCTGGCGGCCGCACAGATACTCCGCATTTTCTGAGGTCAGCAAATTTGTGTCAAATAAGCATCTGTCTGGACTCGTTCGAGGGCGCGGTTGTGCGCTGCATGCGAACTTTGTGCAACCATTGTGTATTTGAACACCAATTGTCCCTTTTTGGGCAGAAGGATTCAGCTTCTCTGGGACTAAGCAGGTCTCGAGTTGGGATTTTCTGGGATTTGGCACTTGGCAGCTGATGTTGCGAAACAGGCCACGGTCGGAGTCGAAGGTCACCCGATCCGGGCAATATTCGATGTCCAGGTTGCCACAAGACCCCGTGGAAGATATCGGGGAACGTGGTGAGAGTGAGAACAAGAAGACCATCCCAAGAGGAAGTGCCTAAGTGTCAAAAGACAAGGCTGAAGGAGTGCAGGCCCGGCTTAAAAGCAGCCAGACGACCAAAGCAACTTGCCAAGCCTTTCTTGTTCTCCACTTAATTTTCCTGTACAAAATTCCTCGCGCCCAAACTTCATTTCTTCTTCCTTTTTTCTTTTCCTTTCCTCATCATCAGTAGAGGTGTTAACATTACCTTAACACCACCGGAGCTCCACCATCGTGTGGCTTGCTGAGGGTTATTCTTGTTTTCGACCATGGATCTCCTTCCGTTCCCGGCTTCGCAGAGGAATTGCACCGTCCTTTTTCCCTTCCACACTATGGTTGCGCAGTCTTTTCGATGGCGCGGAGCTGTGGAGGAGATGCTACAATGCTTTTCACGCTTATAAAAGAGATTGAAAGCAAGAAGAAAAGATGTCTTGTCATTCATACACCTGCTTTTTTGGAGGAGCATTGTGCGTGTTCCTGAGTTGGAATACGGGCTGCTGTCTGCGCTTGTCTGCATGAGCTTTTATGCGCAGAATACCCCTTTGAAGATGCTACAGGGAATGATTGTTTCGTACATGGAGATCGAGGCTCCCGCGTTGAGGCCTTGAATATACCAATGCCATTTATACTACATATGCCAATTCTTACCTCACGCCTCGCTATGCTATCTGGTTGTACTTTTTCAACCGGTTCCACCCACTGTAGGCCGTTTCATTCATATGGAACTAGTCACTCTTGTTATGGTGCGATCCGTTTTGCGTCGTGCTTGTTGTGGTGCATCTTCTCGTCCACCTGTTCTTCGTTGCTCAACTGCGCTCCAACCTGCCAGCCCTTCCCAACTGAATCCTTTCTCCAGTTCCCTTCTCATCACTCCTCAGTGTCGACCAACTGATGGCCCCGTCTTTCTTCGCCAGAGTAAGTTCCAGCTTGGTGCCCATGATCTTGAATTGACATTTGTCCGGGTCAACGGGAGCAAAAAGTGGTATATTCCTCGTGAATCTCTTTCCGTCCTGCGTGGGTAGATCTAAATCCACCGACAGGCCATCGTCCGTGAACTCGACCCGGGCCTTTTCCTTATCGATCTTTTTGAGGTAGAAGCTGACAATGACGCTGTTGACAGTCTGGTAGAAATCACTGCGGACGTTTTCCAGAAGTTGCTCAGTGTCTGCCGACGTTTCTCCGTCAGTTGTGCCCCCTTCCTTCTTTTTCGGCTTCCCTATGTAGCAGTGCCTCTTTTTGGTTTTGCAGCCCTCGATCTTCATGAACTCGTCAAACTCGAGGACCCGTCTCTTGCAACATGTCCAGCCCTTACTGCCTTCGTGGAAAAGGGGGACGCCGGGATGGTAAACACATTCCTCCTCGTCTCGCGGCACATTCGGTTCTCTTGACTTCCCACAACCTCGTCTTTTACATGTCGCGCTAGAGGGGATTTCAGCATCTGGATCGTCAGATTCGTCTTCGGGCGGTTCCGGTTTCGGTGTAGCTGAGGGTGTGGGCTGTTGGGCGGTCGCGAGACTAGACCCCAGGGGCCGAGTAATGGGTACTGGGGAAGGTATGGGGGCGGCGGCGACAATATCTGAGGCTTTCAAGGCGTCGGCTTTGGGGGTGGGCGCCGGGGTATCATCTACAGTCGAGTGCTTGCCCTTTGTGCAGGGTGGAATGGAGAGGAATTCGTCGAAGGTGAGAACGCGGGGTTTGCAGCACATCCAGCCTGTTCGCTCAGACTTATGTTAGTGTAAGCCGTTCAACGCATGAGATGTTGTATTGCCCGCTAGCACGCGAAGAATGAGGGTTCTACAACGGTCGGAGGCAAACACGAACCTTTCTGTCCCTCATGAAACTCCGGAGGGCCAGGATGATATACGCATTCCTCGTCTGGATCCGTGAACACCTTCCCGCATCCTTTGTGGACGCACTTCTGAGCTTCTGCCATCCTTGTAGAGGGATACGCTGTTGACGGGCGGGGTTGTAGACAATCGCAGCAGGAACCGGCCCTTCAGAAAAAGATGGTAGCTATTCTTGTTTGGTGAGCATACCCACAGAGTCGGAAGAGAGGCGAGGTCTAAATGATTACAATCGCCCACGCAGTCCAGCAAGGAGCAGTCGTGACTGCTGGGGAAAGTCAGTCGGGCCTGGGCTTGGCACTTTCCAGAAGCATCTGACGCAACTGGTGGATTATGATAGAGCCTGGCGAGCCTGAACATTCAGCCTTGTCGACGGAACTACAAGTATGCAGTTCTCATTTCTTCTCATTAACGTGGCCATTGCAAGTGAAGAGGGGAGGAAATGTCAGAGATGAGTCTTTATCATTGGCTTGCAAACCTTCAGCTTGCTCAACGAGTGGCTGACACCGTTCAGACACCTCGACAATATGTACACTGACAGAATCTGGAGAAGCGTGAGAAGCGTGCTTTCACTGCGGCCCGCCTACATTCTGTCTATCCAAGCCCCTCGCTGATTGATGCAAACACCACATTGTCCTCCCATAAGAACCCACTACGGATTGCCTTCGAACGCCACAAATGCTAGTTGAACATGATCTTGAGAAAGTAAAAGTCTAATGGATCAGGACCTCGCCGCTGGTACCTAGGCCTTCCTTCTCTTTCGATCTCCACCAAGGCGGGTATCCGGCATGTCGCGAGCTGGACTCGGACTCACAAAAGTGACATGTTTCTCTTCCCTTTCTTCACCATGTCTACGAATCGCCGAAGCTCGCCGAGTGTGTGTCGGAGGTCTGACTGCTTGAGTACAGCTTGGCTGAAAATCCGGCCCTCGCAAAACGCTTCGTGCGTCATCGTCATCGCCTTGAACTTCAAATTCAACTTCGTTGTCGTCATGCTCATCAGATGCAGAGCTGCTACTTGGCGAGTGTGGCTCAAATTCGTCATCATCCACCAGACTTGGTGCCTGGTTCGATTCACTGGTAGGTGAGGGATCCGAGGGATGAATATCAGACGATGTGGCACCGTTCATCGGCAGAGTCATTCCACGTGGCCGGTGCTGGGTAGGCTTGTCGTCGGCGCCATCGTATTGTGGCACCCCTCGTAAGTTAGTGGTGGATCTCAGCATACTGGAGTTCAACAATGGAGATGACATTGGAGACTTGGTAGGTTTCGGTGGTTGTTTGCTGCCCGCAACTTGTGGGTGTCGGCCTTGGCCAGTATGCTGCATGGGAATGTCAATCTCCATTTCATCGTCCTCCGAATCAGATTCCGGCAATTCAACTTTCGTTTTCGCGTCCAGGACCATTTCCTGAAGATCAATTCCTAGTCCTCTAGCCTTGACAAGCTCGGACAGGTTCGGCGTCAAGGCAGATCCCCTGAAATCGGGTGACACTTGTGTTCTCTTGACACTTCCTGTTGTAGGGGTTGTGCTGGGCGTGGTTTGAGATGTTCGAGGAGGTGTGGGGATCAGAAGTTTAGCTGAACGGATTAGAGGATGGACATTGCCTGCAACGGGTGTCACAGTCGGTTCAACACCGATCATAGCTCCAGTCTCGTCCACTTCAACCGGTTCTCCGCAGGCATCTGCCGCAGCATCATGGCTGGCGAAGCTCCGTCCGTGGCCAATCCGGCAATGATTGATGAAACCTTGGGCACTCCCGAAGTCAAACCGACCACAGTCCGGACAGACTAGTTTCACAGTCGCTCCGTCGGATTTCCTCTTGATAATCATCGGACCGGTTGCCTTCTCCTTCGGCTGCCCGTACCCTGCAGGCAAAGATTTTAGTTTGCCACTCCGCTGCGCACGAGCTTGGCTTGACGATTGCGGTCCTTCTGCAAACTGGCCTCTTGTTTGAGATCTGAACTTCATGGGAGATTTACCAACAGGTGTGATAGCGATGGGTTCTTGTTCACCGCCGTCGAAACGGGGGTCAGACAGTAACCATTTCGCATAGTGCCGTGAGTAAGGGCCGTCTTGAACCCCCCAAGGCGCGGGTGACTGGGGTAGTGGAGGTGGGAAGGAACTGCGTAGAGCTGGGCCTGTTCCATTGCTGACACCGATAGAAAGATGTTGCGTTGCCGGGAAAGGAATCTCCTTGCAGCGACGCAATTGCTCTAACGAGGCTTGGGATCTGGCTATTTCTTGGTCGATGAGTCGTAGTTCGTTGTGCTTCAGTAGAATTTCAAGACTGATCTGCGTCTGAATGACGTTCCGGATCGACTGCAGCCTCGCTGCATCCGCGTCTTGCTGCGGAGATTCCACCTGTCTCATTTCTGAGTCTTCCATTTTCTGCTCTGGTGGTGTGGGCAGGAAAGATGGGGAGTCGTTTGGCGAGGATCCAGCAATCCTGAGGGCATCAGGAGGCAAGGCGCGGGTGGAATTGGGAGGCACATTGGCACCGGCTTCTTTATCAACAAACTTCGCCCGTTTCCTTTCTGATTGGGATTGGGTATCCGTTGATTGCTTTCGTTTGTGTGTCGCTGGCATGGCAGATACAGCGAGAGGGCCAGAACCAGGGGAGTCTTGTTTTGAAACAAAGGATCTCATTTCTGGAGAATGGACCTTATCACAGCCTGTCCAGGAGAGCAGGCGCAACATATTGTGTCGCTCTGCAGAGCGATGTGATGCGACCTTGGCGTCGTCACCCCAGTGTTCATCTGGACCATTTAGTCACCGAATATTAGAATGTCCGCCACCTGCCATCAGTTTCTATAACTCAAGCCCGCGGAGTCCGAAGAATGCGACAGTCGTTCCACCACACAACAGAACAAAGAGTGCCGTCCCTTTGCGCACAAGAATCTTGATTGTTTTTGAAGAATATATCCCTTGCCCTCAGTCTGACGGGTGTATACGTAGGACAGGAGAGTCCAAACCAGCGTTGTTTGTCAGTCGCTAGAGTACAAAGTTTGTCGTGAATTACAATGCCTAGAAAGTGGTACAAAGCGTGCGCGCAGCGCCGGTGGAGTAGAAAGAGTGTAGATTAGGGCGACAATAACACCAAGAGGAAGTCGGTGTGTCTGGTGCTGAGGATAGATATCGAGTAATGCAGAGGACAGTCTCGTGGTTGGCGGCTGGTTCGAGTATAGGCGTGGAATGAATGACGCAGAAGACGGGAGCCAGCGAAACCCAAGACGGGCGAAGATCGGAGAAATGGTGATTTTGAAGTCGAGCAGAAATACAGGGTTCGAAGAGACAAGATATTAAGATGAAAAAGGCAGGAAGGACACAGCTAGAGAAGATTGATTCAAGAAGCGAGGCAGTGTAGAAGTGGTACGAGTCCAGGTATAAGTGATGAAAAGACGCAGGTAAGCGCAAGATCGCAGCTTCGAAGGGGGGAAAGAGGCGACAAGTGGAAGGTAGGAGCAAACAAGGGAAGGGGAGAGGGCGAGAGGTAGGGAAAGAGCGAGAGAGGAAGGGAAGGAGGGAGATCGCGCGGGCCCGGGCTCGGGTCCCTCAGGCAAGGCAACGGCAACAAGGGTGGACACGGTGGATGCATCAGAGGGAGAAGAGGCAGCGAAGGGGGGAAAAGAGCTGATGTGCTCAGCGGAAGTGGTGCGAGTTGAGTTGACATGAATCCACTTTCCTCACACTCTATTCTGCACCAGCTTGAGTATTAGGCCAATAAGATGGTGAATCGGCCTTCCCATGACACGGCTAGAACAACGCTAATTGGCTTTAATGTAATAGAGCATGCAAGGGAGCCACGGCAGGCTTCCAACGGAACGCCCTGCCGGACATCCTTAAAGCCACAAGTGGGGTCCTTGATCACCTGATGTTATGTCGCGATAAGTCATCATCACCAGGAGAAGTCACGTGTCAATATATAACGTATCTCCTCACGATTCTTCACTTGACTTCCTATTCTATTCTGATGAAAGCAGACCTTTACAGAAATCGTAATTGTACTGCATACTTTGTCTGATGACACATCCTCTCCTTTGAAAATGTCCCATGCTGTACTTTATCCGTGTCGTAATGCTTCAGTATCAGTCCATTCACCACTTAGACATTCACTTTCCGTTCTGAGAAACCTACACCCACGCCTTGAACCCTCAGCGTCAAAGTACAACATCTTTAAACTTTCAAAATCAAACGCTGAGATGCCTGTGATATAATATCAATGTGAGACAGATTTAAAACAGACGAAGACTTCTGCGTCGATCCTATTGCTTCCCGTGAGCACGTGGGCCGACATCCCCATTCCCTTGAAATCGTCTGGTCCTGGCTTCATGGACGGAGCGATTAGGCACACAGCATATGGGACATATCTATATGATATGAACTGCCTTCACGCACCGAATGGTTGGTGGATGCAACTATCTCTAAAAATATCTACCATTTGCCCCAGGTGAGTGATCGTCCAGCGTTGTCAAATGTTCTTTGCCACCCATTACCTCTTGCTTTCAGGACATCGCCTATCGCCATCACTCGACGTCTACTGGCTGGATGGCTGGTCCTTCCAAGATTTGTCGGGAACATGCATCCTTGAAACGTTATGTTTCAGTAGAAAGAGCATTGTTCCCCACAAAAGCCCAATTCTCCGGGCAGATGATCGAAGTGCCGACTATCTGAAGGGTTGTGTGGTTTTGCCACTAGCGGCTCTTCGGTCGATATAGCACAGCCACGCAGCCACATGTTCCAACCAGTCATACAACAGCTCTTGAACAACCACCAACGTCCCTGCGTCGGATCTTCCTGCCAATCCATCTAGACCTTCAGCAAGCCACCACTTACACCCTAGAGAATCTTGCATGGCTTGGACTAGTCTGAGTTCTTTCCAAGTCGCTTGGGCATATCTGAAGCCGCCAACACTCCCATGGCCGAGGATCTGAATCCAGAACATAAACGACCGCACTTGAGTGGTGTTCCTTGTTTTGTTCCCTGCTGATATGCCTTTAGTCGAGCATACAACCTTCTCATCAGCCGCGCAGGCCGCGCAGACGCTAACGAGGATGGGAAGCAAGCGATGAGGATCCGAGGGGAGCACACTGAAGCGATCGTCGGATATGTATGGTAGCCGGGTGCCCTCTGGCGATGATCCTCACAAACTCCTCTTGTCGAGGCAGAAATCATTTTCTCTTACCCTCTTATGCATATGCTCTGTTTCCATTGCAATCGCCTGCTTTTTTGCTTGTCTTGACTCAAGAAAAGATTTGATCTAATCAGTCGCAAATTGCAAGCGGGGAATATCAGCTGCACGCACCGCATATACACATGTCTCGGTAATATACAACCAAACGGCTTGCAATATGAGGCGAATCTTGATTTCGCTGCTTGCGACAGCCGCTTTCCCTCTCCTAACGACCCAACAGACGCTCGACCCTTTGAGCATCATCGTATCTGAGGCCTTTTCTGTCTATACAGAAGTCAACTCACTTCTGTCTTCCGCTGCTTCGGCTGTCTCAGCAGCAGCAGGGTCCGCGGTCTCTACGGCGGGAACTTCGTCCCCGGATGCGGCTTCTTCGAGTACCATTGCGCAATATACCGCAAGCTCAAATGACGCGACATCAAGCGAAAGTTCAGGACTTTCAGATACGTCTTCAACTTCGACTACGTCCGCACCGTTCATCTCAACTTCGAATCCTTCAGCCTCAACTACCTCTTCACCAATTTTTTTCGGATCCACTCCTTCGAGTACGCCGAATGCCAGATCCTCTACTCCTTCCGGAAGTTCATCATCCATTACATATCCAACGAGGACATCTCCAGTAATAGGTACATCTTCAGTACTAGGGGCCGCCGCTGGGACTGAAACAAGCACATCCTCACTCGCAAAATCGAGACAAGACTCCGATCTTCCTATTATCCTTGGCTGTGTTCTAGGAGCCCTGGCACTCGGGTTCTGTATTTTGGCCTTGGTCCTTTGCTTCAAACGCCGGCGACTCAGCTCGTCACCTCGCCATTCCGCCCTCTCCGCTGGCGATGATGAAGTTGAGAGCTGGAGGGTGAATCGACCATCAGTTTCAGGTGCAAGTCAAGATCCACTGCATCGTGGTATACACGCCGCAGGAGTCGCACCCCTCATGTCCGAACATCCTGCCTTTCGCACGTCTCAAGGCTATGAGAACCCATTTGTTCCTGTACCTCCACCACCAAGACGCACGGCTCCCAATTCTCGACCTGGTTTGACCGACGGCATGATCCCTGGAGATGACCCTTTTGTGAAGGAGATCGGTAAACCGTCCAGGTCTGAAAGTATATCGTCAACCTATAGCACGCATCATGTGGGTGGCATTGCAGCGGGGATCGCGGCGGCAGCAGCTGGAGCCGACCTCATGCATTCATATGACCGTCATCCTGATGAGAACGAGCCAATGGTGAGCCCTGTGCCAGCGAGCGATCGAACTGTTCCCGCGCAAATCACCCGCAAGCCTGTCCCGGTCCACTACGCCAACAACAGCGAACCATGGCCTTACTCCCCCGTCTCACCCATCGATCCTGTCGCCGAAAATGCCGGCTTCATGGCATCTCCAAGGAAAAGTAGCGGCGAGAGCGGCCCAAGCCTCAGTCGCGATCCCGCCAGAGCGAACACCGTGTTCGATCAAGATTATGCACCTCACGGTGGTGCTCTCGGGCAGGATGACCATGGACTTGGAGCTGCTACGGGAGGATCTGATGCCGGGCCTGTTGGCGTTGCAGCTCTTGGCTATTGGGATAACCGTGGTTCCCATCGATCGCGAAGCCGAAGCAGCAGTAGCAAGCGGCACAGTCGGCCCACAATGGCCTTGCCCAATGATGGACTCGAGAGAGGCGGGAGGACGTCCAGGGACCATGGGAGCAGCCAAGCCTATAAGGATGTTCTCCCTCAAAAATCATATGACGGCAGCCTTCCAGGCGAACACGACCCATTCAGGGCCTCTGCGGCCCCACCTCCTCGCTCTCGACGCAACAGTGCTTTTGGACCTGCGCACCCTGGCGCGGTGGCTTTCAACGGTGCCAACCGACCTGTCGTACCATCTCCGCTGTCTAGCGAAGTGCCCCGCGATCCGAGCTATTCGCCTCCGCGAAGCCGGGCGCGAGGTCTGAGTGGGAGTTCGTCACGGTTCTCATTCTCCTACGAGCCTGTAGCCGATGATTATGGTGCCTACCCACCCTTTTCTATCACGTCCAGTAACTTCGACCGTGGCAAGACGGGACAAGACAAGATTCCTACGGACCAGAGCACCAGCGACCTCACCCGTCCTGGTGTTACGAACGCCAACGAGTATGTCTTGACAGCCACCTCAGGTCCGTTAGGGCCTCAGCCGCATATTGAAACTCTACCCTCCAGCTCTGGGGACAGAAAAGCAGCGATGGATACCGATGACGCGCCATGGCGGATGAGCGACGGGATGCCGGCTGGTTGGCAGCGCACCAGCACAGACAGTCCTCGCAACAGTCGGGAGCACATGAGGAATCGCGATTCAGGGGTGAGCATGGGAACCGGAGCGGGACTGGGAGGCCGAAGAGGGCGAAGGTTGCGGGCGAGTGACTTAGCGGGTTCATCGACCGCAAGGCCAGGGATCAATGACGACGGATACGGCTACGGCTACGGATATGGCTATGGACAGGCGCTCTGACAGAGCGACATGGCTTGAGTCCGGAGACCCCAAAGCGCAACAACAATGAATGACGATAATCCAAGGGACGAGCTCAATCTGTCTTAATTTAGCTTGAAGCGTTTTTTTTCCTCCCAGCGACGACTCTAATGGGCATAGGTTGTGGCGTCAAGTATGTATATATGTATGTATCCATGTCGAAAGCGACGTCTGTGATCTCTTCGGGAGTCTCTCGTCAGAAATCCGTGGCAATTGTGATAGTGAAAAGAACTCGAGACTCGAGGGCCCAGAGAGATTTACATGCGTCCGAGGACAACATGAAGTTTTAGCAGCGAGAAAAGACATGATTCTCGCCCTTCGCCCTGCGTACGTTTACGAGAATGGAGACATAAAAATCTGATAAGTGTGATCGAACATGGACAGTTCAAAAGGAGAATGCAGCACAGTGCGCAGCTCGAAGCCGTTACTTCCCTGTGAACCCCTTCTGAAAATGCTGGTCTGTACATAAAATGTGCTCCCTGCTCCATTTGTCCTGATGCAATGTATTTCCTTGGTGACACCTTGTTATTGGGCCAATGCTGGATCTAGCCTCGTCCCATTTCTCGGGAGTCGGTTCGCTAAAGTCAAGATGCAAATCTGAATGCAGATGATAGATGTACCTCGTACCCCGATGTGAGGTTGTCTGATGCCCTTCATGTCTGACGGTCCCTGTTCCCATCAAAAGCCAGCGTGTCCACTGCTGCTCTGCGACATGGCGCAATGATATCATTCCCGACAGAAAGAAGGTCATTCGATAACCGTTTTCCGTTGACGAACTCCATAATAGACAATACATGCACTTCCTTCCATCCTGGCCTCATGCCACCCATTTAACCATAAGGCATGATACAGCTCCAAGCGCCACAAGTGAGACTTGAAGCCACCGAATTGCGCCCGGCAATTAAGTATATTGATATATACGAGATTCCAGATGGTCTAGTTCAGTAACTTGACCATGTCTGATGGTATCCGCCCAGTAGGAGATACCGTTTCAACGTTTCGCCACTCTTCGCGCGTCGAAGTCGAGGGGGGCGTTTCTGGCGCTGGAGTCACTTCCACGCTTGAGAACTCCGGTTTGTGCATTGGAATAAATGTGTCGTTAGCATCGCGTCGAGGTGATAGAGGCACGGGTAAAGTCTTTTTATACGCTGCGTTGTTGATCGCGACAACCGGTTTGGTGACCTTTCCAGACAGGACTCCCTGTTTTTGGGGATTGGTAGATGCCCTGATTTTGGTGACCTTGGGCTTCTTGTTCTGCGAAGTCTTGGATTTTACAGGTTTGTCTTTATTCTCCTTCCCACGGAGCAGTTCAGCGATGGACCTGCCAGCACTTGCTGCATTTCTGACCGACGCCTGTCTGCTTCGCTCGGTAACGTTGAGTTTGATTCGGATCGGCGAAGACGTTATAGATGTGACCCCAGGTTCTGTTTTTGTTCTCAAGGACGCATCTCCATTCTGGCTTCGTGGAGGGGTGATCGCATTGAAGTCTGCTGACGGCAGCAAGACTTCGACTAGGCCTTCGTCCTTCTTAGAACCCGGAGGTATGACCACCTGGATCTCGCCCTGGTCGGACTTGATTCTATCCAGATCTGCCTCTGTGTAATTCTCAGCGACATCCTGGCTGGGATCATCCCATTCTTTTAAGCGTGCCAATCGTGCCACTTCGTCACTGTCACCTTTGACAACAAGATCCCAGCAATTTTCGAGATCCTTTCCGGGAGGTACTGGATCGCGATTGATCCACACTGTGGTACCTTCCCGCCGATCTCTGACTATTTGGCACATCTCATGGACGATGCGTCGCACGGCCGGAATCTTCATGCTGGTGCCGACGACAATGACTGCATCCGGCCTCGTACGAAAATCTGCCGTCGTCACTGCACCAATCGCTTCGTCATCAGGATTATGCTCATTATAGAGGACAATTCTGGGCCGTAATCTGCCAACTCCGTGGCTTCTTTTTCCTGCATGGGCAGTTCTCAATCGGTCTGCTGCAACGCATTGAGGACAAAGGGGAGGAGCAGCTCCGTCAAACAAATTTGCTTGGAAATCGGAGATGTGTCTGCATTTCTGACACATCATTTTCTCCAGACCTCCATGAAGTTGCACGGTCTTTGGCCAGGGCGCCTTATGGTTGAGGGGAACTTGAGTAGCCAGTGGTGGTAGTGAGGTCTCTAAACAGTCGACATTTTGTGTATAGAGTCGCAATAATCGTCCCTCGACAGCGAGTCTAGCTAGGAAACGGTGGAAGATGGTTGGCTTGGCATTCGCTGACATCTTGGAGAGCTTGCGAACCATGTCGTGGAAACTCGAGGTTGAATGGTCATCCTTGTAGACTGAGGCATCAAAGAGCATTTTCCCAGAGCTTTTCAATCTGTGTTCCCCTCTCAAGCTTCTGAAAAGTCCGTGAGAAGATCTGAAATCCGGAATCCCTGCTGAGACAGATATACCCGCCCCTGCAATCACCACGATCTTTCTTCGGTTGCGCAAGGCCTTCAGAAGGGTGTCTAAAGCTTCTGAGCGATCGTACTCCGACTGCGCAGTATCTGAAGTGAGATCCAAGTACTGAGTAGTGCGAATCTTTGGCTCGATTTTCCGGCGCTTTCGTGGACGCGGCATTTCGTCACCCGCATGCTGTGAAGGAGGTGGAGTGAGAGTCTGGAAGCCAGGAGGTAATTCTGGCGAATCTGGAGGGGAGGTGAGTGGTGAACTGGGAGGCGAACTCAAAGGGGACGAGAGATCTGAAATGTCCCCAACGTCCATGGTGAATCGGGAGTTGTGGTGTTGGTAGAGTAAACGAGCGATTTTTATCGCATGACTTCAGGAAGGAGCGATTCTTCAGTCTGGGCTGACCCTCTACTGGCTATTTCCTTTGTGTCCGAGACAATGCAACCGGTATGTTGGAGTTCGGAAGGAGTGAATACTCGAAAGGTTATCTCGTAGATGGTAAAAGAGCGAAGATGAGCTGAGAGGCTCGATGGAGAAGGCGCGGTTTGGGAGTTGGATGATGAGGCTGGCAGGGGGGTGCAGATGAGACGAAACTGAACCGGGAAGTGGACAGCGAACGAGCGGGAGAAACGGGCGGAGAGACGAGAAGCAAGCGTCAGCGGCTCCTGGCTGTTTGCATGCTGGACCTGACAGATGCCCGACGCCCAGGACGATGGCCTAAACTCTGTTTGACTTGATTGCTTGCAGCTGCACAACAACAAACGGGAAGGGCAAGGGGAATGAGAGCCGGGGCCAGCGGAGTCCTTCAGTGATTGGCCGGCAGGGTCTTTTGGGGGGCCGATCAGTGCCTGACAGATTTGCTGTGGGCGAGCGGCATGACTACTAGATTTTAAGTCTGGACAGGTACGAGGGTGCAGCTCATGATCATACAAGTAGGTACCGAGTACAGCTAGCTCCCAGGGTCTCAGAGCTGGATTGAATGGGGTCTGTTTAATCCACTGATGTATATCAGAATGTGTTCTCAATGATTGATCGAAATCGACCTGGTATGTACCAGTGGTAGTCAAACATCATGAATGCAGGTGGGTAAAGGGTAAAGGTCCAACGGTGCTGTTACCGCGGCTACCGCCTAGAGAGGGACCCCAGAAAGCCCTTTGTGGCTTGTGGCTAGTGGCTAGTGGGGAGAAGCTCGTGCTGCTTCGGCGGCTTCTGCGGCTTGCTCCCACCGCCTGGTTGCTGCCCCAGTGTCCGATTCGCCCACCTTTAACAATTCCCATTGTGCGCTGCACCCGCGTTTCAGCCTTTCGCGTAGGAAAACAACCTCGTGTCCAATTCTCATTACTCCTCGACACAGAGCTTTCATCATCCTCTGTGCCTGTATCCCTCTTAGCATTCCCTCTCGATCCAACTCTTTGGTGTCGTTGCGCTCAACTGACTTGTATTGAATTTTAGAGAGGACCATGTTCTGATGATGCGCTGAACCTTCATTTCACCTTCAGACCTACCACCTGTGGAAGGATGCGGTGATTTTATGGCCATACTACTATTTGTTGTCGGACTGGTAAAATGAACTTGCGAAATTGTACGCCAATATCGTCAAACATTGAACCAGATGGATCAAGATCAACCAGACGATTTCGCGTCGGAGTCTTTCTTCGACCAAAATTCCCTACAGCAACAGATCCAGCAGATCGATGCAAACGCTAATCTCAACAACGTCCCAAATGTTGCCATCCCTCCAAATCCCGCTGTCCTCGACAAGCTCTCACGTCGGTGGTATTGTGGCTGTTTGGAACGTACAGCCTGGTCGAGACATGGCCATCTTGCCAGCATATCCGATGATGGATCCATTGTCTATTTGGAATGTATTCGATACAACTATGAATTAAAATCATGGGGTCTCCATGAAAGACACTCCTTGACTACCCTCTTCGAAGACGCCACTAGCCTGGCTTGGAGCCCAAATGGAGGGGAACTTGCAGTGGTCGATGTCAAGGGCCGCATATGGATTTATCACAACTCTCTGCTCGCTATCAATCGCCTCACTCTTGCTCGACAAGGGGCTCTAGACGAGGGCGACGAGTACTCCCAGCCGGTTGGGATGACATGGCTAAATCAAGATCGTCAGGAGAGACCAAGAAATGTCGTCACACATGCTTTCAAGGGTGAGAGTCGGTGGCAGCATGCTAACGCCAGAGCTAAACCACTCGGCCCCTATTGGCATCGTGCCGTTGCAATCGTTCACCGCAACGGGCTCTTCACACTTTGCTTTCAAAGAAGTGATGGCCAGTATTCCAAGGTCACCAAGCGACTATCTCCGCCCGACGACATCCTCTACAGTCATGCCAGCTTTGCCCCCACTGTCGAAGGAAAGATGCTCATCACTCTGCACTCGTTCAAAAAGACCATTTCGGTTTACTTCCTCTCGATAGACTGGAACGAAGTCAAGCAATCTGTGGAAGGCTTGCCGATTTTGAATCTTGAATCAGTTTCAAGCAATGTCTCTTCGCAGCCCTCCGGATCTCCCACTCTGCCTGATACATACGACCCGGATTCCTGGTTACTTAGCCACCTAGAGATTGTGCGCACTTCGGATGTCGAGAAAGCGGTCCAGATCCCCCCCACTATTCTCGCAATTTCTTCTGGTGTCAATAGAACTGTCAACATACCAGATTCAGGCTTCCTGGTATCGAGCATGATCAAGAGGTGGACGGTCGCTCCTGTCGAACAGAAGTTACATCCCCTATTTGATGCCCTGCCATCTATAGGTCCGGGGACGGCAGCACCAAAGCCTTCTTATACCCTCCAGAGGCTGCCCGATAAGGAAGAACAGGTCATTACGACCATTCATCATGTGGATGGTGTCCAAGCGCTTGTTGTTACAACACAGGAAAACCGCACTGATTTCTTAAGCTCGGAAGACTTATCGCCCATGTCCTATGCCGGTTTGGCACAGGAAACCACATCCATGTCTCAATCTGGATTTGCATATCCCTACGCTCAAGTGATTCTCACACCAACTTTCTCCCCCAATGCATGCGTGAGAGCAGATCTAACACCAGAGGGCAAAACACAACTTGTTGCCATGGAATACCAACTAGGACAGCCACAGTCACTACAGCCGCTGGATCCAAATGTTGATGTGGCTCTTGCATCCCTAAACCTGACCTTTGCACGAGCATGCTGGTCGAATGCTACCATCGATGACATCCTGATGTGTGTCTCACAGTCCATTCCGACCGAACTCATCCCCACTGTAATTTCAACTGCCTATCGCACGCTCTTTCGTGACAATGACTTTGTGAACGAAAGGACTGAGGGCTCGGAACTCGAAAAGTTTATCCACAAGACGGTGATAGGAAGGGTTCTGTCTTACCATGCAAGTCTCGCGGCGAATTGTACTCAGCTTCCCTCCATCGCCTCCACTGATCGAAGACATGGCTGTTGGTCACTCAGCGCACAGTGGGCTTGGTTGGTAAACAATATCCGACAGGCTGCAACCCTGCTTTTCATGGCTATGAGGGACGTGCAGAATATCCAACTCGTCATGAGCCAAGACCTGACGGACCTGCTCTGCTCGAATCTCCGGTGGGGTTTGTCGCTGATGAGGTTTATCATCAGCACCATTTTAGAGGTAGGCGATCGGGAGACAAACCCTGAAATGTTTGATGAGAAAGATCCCGGCAGAGCGGGCGACTCTCTAGGCGACGGCAGTCAGGGTCTGGTTGCGCTGCTGTTGAACTGCCACCCTTCCCGAATTTTCTTGATTGCCTTCGTCAGAGCTGTCAGGGCGTACGCGAAGAACACAGAACCAAAATCTAATCATCACTTACAAGTTCTCCAATGTATTCAACAGCAGACGTCGGGAAAAGGACTGTCATTTCAAGCCATGGAGGCGCTCCTCGAATACAGATGGTCGGCGGTAGGTGATGTGGACAGGGATATGGCCGCCACAGCTGCACGCCAGCTCGAGATGATGGCCACGGGGATTGTGCATGAGTCGTACCAGGGGACGATCAAGGTGCTACTTAACACACTCTTCAACAGTGCTCAGGGACTGCGAGCCAAGATGCTGATCGACCGAGTTAAGCTGTTTATCGACCATGTCGATTTGGAGTACATCTTTTTGAACAACGACATCCTGGGTCGACGAAGCACTGATGAAGACCCCGATAGGAAGGAGATCATCTATGATGTGCATCGGAAGAGACCAATTCTCAAGGGCGTGGCAGAGCCCGGCGGTACAGGGCAACTCATGATTAGGAAATGCTTGAGATGTGGGAGTTATAGTGAGGACGTCGTCAATGTGCCACCTAGGGAGTGGCCTCGGCAAGTTGCTATGCTACTTATGAGATGTGTTTGCGATGGCAGTTGGGTGCTTAAGCCTTGGGATAAGGTCCACAAATGAAGCGCAAAAAGCCTGCAGGGTGAATTTTGGGGAGTTCCAGAACCCCATGTACTTGGGCGAAACCAGCAAAGCCGTATCGAAGTGTTTTGTAACCGTCTTCAATGAAATTTTGCGTTCGCGTTTTCTCATTTGTCCCCGCAGCGCCGCATGACACAGGCCATACCCGCCATTTCGTTGTGTCTTACAGCCATGGACTGCTTAAGCTGAAGCTCATAATTCTAGAGCTGGGGAAAGCATCCTCCACCTCGCAAAAGTCTTCGGAACCACTAACCACCATCACTTGTTTTCCCCCAAGCGACTCATCCATCAACCTCAAATGCTTTATTTTTTCACGCGTAAACCTTTGAAACACACCTCTGTCCTTTGCCCGAGACACCATTTTACTCGGCCTTCACAGCATACTTCCTCGCGGGGAAGTGCGTCAGTCTCTTCTTCTGTTTCTCTGTGACCCTGCTGGCGTCCTTTTTCGAGAGCCGGCGGCGGATAGAGCGGGTCAACTTGGGTCGCAGGTCGAGGGGCAGGTACTTCTTCTTGGCGTAGAACAGGCGAAGCTGGTGGCGTTGGTTTGCGTTGATGACGGTCAGGACGCGGGCGATAGATTTGCGGAGGTCATGTCTGTCAAAACCCGGGGATATCAGCACTGTGCTCGCCTCTCGTCCATGTAAAAAACTTTTGTAGATCGAGAGAAGGGAAGGGGGGAGTTCAATCCAACGCCGTCTTCTTCATTTCCAATCAGTGGTTTGTAGAACATACATTCTTGTCAATTTTGATGAAGCGCCGCCGGCGATCTTCTGCACGCGCAGTTGTCCCAGCTCGGTCTTGAGCTCGTCGAGTTGTTTCTTCAGGTCGTCCTTGGACTTGCCCCAGAGCTGGCCGGGCTTGACTTTGGCGTTGGTCGACTGTAGTGTAACTTGTCAGCATTGGTTTTGTGGCTAGGTTAGACGAAGGGTTCACAAACCATCTTGGCTGGTTAGTAGAAACTTGTCGATGTCGAGGTTCGTTGAGAAGAGTTTGTAGATATGGATGTCGTTGGCGGTTCGGTCGGTCGGTCGCAGTCTAGGGAAAATTGTTGTGTGCAAGCCCCGATTTCTGCCAAGATTTATTTTGCACGTGATCAACTTGCGAGATGCGCCTAACCGGCTACGGCAAGTTCCGCTCACGCCCCATGCTTCCGCGGCTGCGTCGTCGTTAGGACAAGGTGGGAACTTTGACCACCGACTCTCCTTCAGCCACGAGACCAATTGTCAATCCGGGTCGAAGACTGTACTCGATAAACTATATTGGGACGATGAATTCAGTGATAACCTCACTCTTATAGACGACTGCCCAGACGTTCTTCCACGTCACTTCGGCGAGCGACTTCGGCGATGGCAACTACTACGGGCTGGGCGCAACTACGTCAACAGATCCGGACGCTGGAAAGCCAGGTACGTTGGCTGTACCGCCTAAGGAATGCCCCCATGTGACTAATTTACTCTCTGGCAGACTGAAGCCCTATTCCACACTTATTCACAATATGCGTCCACCCCTAATCTCCCTCCGAAGCCGTCAGACGAGGAACAAAGGAACGAAGCGGAAATACAGGAGCTGCTAGAAAAGGTGGGAGCCGACGGTTGATCATTGAGGGTGTCAATTACACAATCTAATATTCTCCCACGTATAGCGTGAAGGACTGGTCTCGCAACTCGCTCGACTCCTCGACTCCGAAAGCGCCCTGAGCACATCCAGTCTGAAGCAGAACAATCTCTCCCGCCACCGTGAAGTCCTCAGTGAACACCGCCAGGAACTCCGTCGCCTTAAAGGCTCCATATCCGAAGCTCGTGACCGCCAGCATCTCCTCGCAAACGTACGCTCCGACATCGACGCATTCCGGTCGTCCAACCCAGCCGAGGCCGAAGCCGAATACATGCTCCAAGAGCGGGCCCGATTGGACCAGAGTCATAATGTCATTGACGGCGTTTTGTCCCAAGCATATGCCATCAACGAGAGTTTCGGGATTCAGAGAGAGACTCTAGCGAGCATCAACCGACGAATTACCAGCGCCGCGGCTCAAATCCCTGGTGTGAATGGTTTGATCCAGAGGATCGGATCCAAGAGGCGGAGAGATGGCATTATTCTGGGCAGTTTCATTGCATTTTGTTTTCTGATGCTGCTTTACTTCAGTTGATCGCACACGATCGAGAGGGCACCACTACAGGCCAGTATTCGAGGCCGTGCCTTGAGTGGCAGCAACCTCTTCCAGGTGCTGAGGATTCCATACTTACGCTTCGACTCTCCCTCCACTTCTTTCGTCGGGACACCGAGATGTCCCTGCTGCCCACGTTGTCGGCAGAGATTCCTGCGAGGCTACTTCTCCAGAGTGGCTCAACCTTGAAGTGTTTCAGGAGAGAGTCCGTCGAGCAGGGTCCGGATCTGGAAAAGTGAAGTGAAGATGCAACCGGTGGAGCGTCGGGATTAGAAAGCGGCTGAAGAAATTCTGCACAAACTCACTCAAACCAAGCACAAAAATCCCCCCGAGAGAGTGCGAATCGCACTTGACATGACGCCGCTGAGAGAAAACACGTCAAAAGGAGGTGGCTCGCCTTCTGTAGCAGCTTCTGTTCGGAGCAGAACTCTGATCAATGGGGATCGCAAACATCTGATATGATATGGAAGACTGTAAAGTCTAGGCGTTATTTTTGAAGGGTTTCATCATGTGCTGATAATATATTGTCATGAAGTTGGTTGGTGAGCAGAGCAAGCGACACATTTCATCGAGGACTATTCAACTTATAGGTGCTGGATGTGGATTGGCCGATCTGGTTTCGAGGCATGGCGCATACGCTGTAGAACATATGTAAGAATGCACGTCTCGACCCAAGGCTTTTGAATCGCAATTTATCTGCCTCTTAGCACACTGTATGAATGCATTAAGTGATTCGATCAATACCTCTTCTATAGACAGGCGCGAGCAAGAGACCGCCCAGAGGTTGGCAGAGTGTCTGAGTGTCTTCTGAGAGTGGATGGAGATGGGGAGTCGGCAGATATTGACTCGGAAATATTAATGCTCGAATGATGCCAACCCGAATTGGGAGGTGGGTGGCTCTCCCACCAACTTTTTCTTTTTCACCCTGAGATTCTCAGCCTTGGCCATCCATCCATCAATTACTACCTCAATACCCAGGTACTTGGTCGGCTAACACGGCGCCCGTCACCCATCGCCCATCGCTTAGCTTTTGTCGTAACTCGCAACGCACTTCGTCGCTATGTTTTATGTACCTGAAAGTAGCCGAATCGGCCAGTCGGCTGCTGACATCCCAATGAAGTTCTAGTTCTTTGGAAGTGCTTGTTATTGATCGTCACTCCGGGATGCGACGCTGGAAGGAAAGAGGTTTTGGCGCCCCGGGGCAATATACCCTCCTTGAACGAAAATCCCTATCTCCTTGGCCTGAGTCTTGTTTTCCAGTTCGATTTTTCCCTTACCGTGCCCTAATTAACTAAGCCCTTGGGACTTTTCTTGTCCCTACATATGTACTGTCTTTCAACTAGCGTCCGTCTCGTCCATCTCCGTTATTTCCCAAGAATCAATTCCCAACAATGAATTAATGATGACGACGGTGGTTCCCCTGTTCCCGTTCCCCTCTTCTTCTTGGGTATGCTGTATATGGAAGTTTCCTCTTTTCACATGAGGTCAAGACAAGGCCTGTTCGTTCATATGAAACACAAACCTCATGCTGTGCGTGGGCATGGTATCGTGTGAATTCCTGGAAGTGGAGCGTAGAAACAATGAAGGTATCTATCCATTCGCATCGTCGTAATAGATCTCGACGACTAATTTCTTTTTTTTTCTATTGTCAATGCGTTCCGCTCGTTTAGTGGTACCATATTCACTATGCTGGACGCTGTTTTCCGAGTACCTATACGGGTCATTACTCATGACCGCTTCCGTCTTGACACCCAAACCGCCCTGAAGGAGGACATTGTGATTTACTTTTTTGGGACTTTGAGGGGGCGCACACGGCTATCGGCTCGCGTTGCTCGCTCGTGTTTTTCTCGCTTTTTGGTTTCCCGGCCACTTCCCGCACAAATCAGAGGACGGGCTTGCGACATTTCTTATACGAGGTACAAACGAACAAACGGATGCTAGATCGAGCGGGTGTTGGTGGTCCTTTCCGCACTAAAAAGTAATCATTCTTTGCTTGAACGAGGGACAATGGCGCCCATGCAATCGATGGAGGGCTGCTTTTTCCCAATCCATACTTGTAACTCGATCCCGCCAAACTGGGAAGATACAATGGTATCATGGGCCATTCCGAAACGCACCCTTTTCTGGGATAAGGTTCGGAGTTCCGTGTGAGTGAGAGCTGATCTGTTGAGGGAGAAAAGGACCAAAAAAAAAAACCATGCCCAGCTCTCGTCAGATGAAAGGGCTTATTATCTGCGGTTGGTACTTGGTAAGGGCATTGGCAGATGTCACACTTGTCAGGGACGGGAGGGGAGAGGAGAGGTTAAACATTCCGGCTGATCTGAAAACCTTCCACATGAAGTAGAGACGCAAGACAAAAAGAGGAAGAGAGAGTACGGTGGGAATGAAAAGGAATTCCCCGTCAAGCTTTTTTGGGTTTGTAACGTGGGTGGTAGTGGTAATAGATACTACGAGGTACTCCCGCTCTTTCCCCTGCCAAACAGACAGAGAGAACGAGAGAGGAGACTCGGAACGTCGTTTGCGGCGAATGTAACTTATTGGCAAGGAATGACATACCTACATACATGTGTGTCCATGTCTAAACTATACTTATGCATGGTCAAGACACACACGGACTAACCCACCTGTCCCTTATTCTGCTCTTCCCACCACACACACCATGATGTGGGAGGAGGTATGAGGCAAAAAAAATCCCGCTCTTCCGATTTCCCGCTCTTGTTGTCCGCGATAACCGGTGTCCTCGTTCCTCGTTCCCGCGACCCTCACTCACCATGCACGGCTCAACGACCGGCGGAGTTTTTGGACTGGGTACCATATGTACTCGTACTTGCAATGGAATGCATGCATGAGCTTTAGAAACGTCCCTGCAGCCATCTAGCCATCAAGCCGTTATCCATTGGCCCATTGGGTGGGAAGGGCCCGGCCGGGGGAGGACATCCCATCTCCCTGAGCAGTACTCGTACCAACCAAAGGCTCCTAACTACTAAGTCGTCGTCTTGCTGTATGCGAGCCATTCATTTCCTCCTGCAGGGACTCAATTCATGCATTTAGCAGAATGACTTCCCCTCCAGCAGGCGAGAAAAGCACAAGGAAATTGCCCAAAGAGTAGAGGAGAGGAGAGTGTCTGAGAGAGGGGACAAAGCCCAAAAATATCTACCCAGTACGCAGTACTTGTATGAACGGTACTTCTGATAACAATGCTTTGCTGGAACAAGCAGAATAAAAAAAACAAGGCGAGGAGGCGAAATCCTTGGGACTTGGGACAAGATTTTTCTCTCTTCCCATCCCCCTCCCACGCGCTCTCTCTCTCTCATATGTGACTTTAAAGATCTGAGGGCTTTTTTTTCTTTCCCCTCGTCAAAAACTCATTCCATGACCCTTGTATTAGTAGTAGTGGAGAAATCTTTTGGCGATTGGCTAGGCTTGACAAGAAAGAAGGTCATATTACATTACAACCCTTTTCCGAGTGAGAACTGGACTTGGGGGGCTATTCTATCCCATCTCTCCCATCATTTTTAGAATATCCATTCCGCCCTTCCTTACCAATCTATTCCATACAACACCGACCCTTCTCGCTCGATTCTTTTCCCCATCTTGGGCCATTGGGAAAAGAGAATACGAGTTATTAGCCTTGTCCGATTCTGCGATATTGGACCCTTCTTTGTTCGCCTCTGGCTCGCAAAACCCTCTCGAGTTTTCCCCACCATATACTATTCTTTCCCTCGACTTGTTGCGGGCAATAACTCCGTTGACATCACGATATACTGATTCCACTT